GAATCCTAATAATATGAATCTTAATAAATGAGAGGTAATAGAAATGATGTTCCCCATAGCAATCATGAACACTGGAACAATAGGCATGATCGAAATATTGGCCCTAGAAGAAATTTTAATGATAGAGGGCGAGGTGGCGGTCATAGACCACGGGATCGAGGTGGGGGTTCTAGGAAGGATAAGAAGATGAATAGGAAATAATTTAATTTAGGATATAATCTGTAAATAGATTTTAATTTATATGGTAAAAACTTAGTTTTGCAGTATTTTTATGCAAAAGCAATAATATTTATGACAGTTTTGATGACAATTTATTTTAATTATTAGAAGATTCAAGAACTTATATTGGTTGTTGCAAATTATTTATTTATTAGTAGGTTAAATTGTATTATATATATATATATATGATATATATATATATATATATATATATATATAAAGGTATACAAAATATATGTACACACATATTTTATATATTTTTTCTATTACATGGTAAAAATGATGAATGTGTATATATAGTGTTAGAAAAATATTTTGTAAAAATTTATACATTATTATGTAAAAGTGATACATGCAAATAGTAATAATTTAGAGAAATTCCATCATTGATTTAAATAAAACATAAGCAAGCTAAAATGATAAAAATTTACATAAAAACTATGTTCACACTTAAATTATGTAACTAATGTGATAAATTAAAAAAATCAAATTAATGTTTTAGTGTTTGTGGTATTTGTTGTTTTACATTAGTATTTTTTTATATACGTATAATATGTAAGTGATATGTGTGGTGAGTTTTATCGTGTTTAAAAGTTTGTTCAGTTACAATTGTCTACAAGTTTGTCTCAATTAAAATAAAAAAAAAATTAGTATCAAAATTATGTAAGTTTATGGTTAATATTAGGGACGACATTGACAAAAAACCTTATTGACAGAACTGAAGTGGATTTGTTGATATTTATTTAATTAATTTTCGGACTATTTAAAAGCCAAATTCAACATAAATACTATGATAGACCTAAATTCTATTTTGTCTGTCTACTAAATACTTGCGAAAATCGTTGTGTTAGTGAATTCATATAAGTGTTTAATAATACACTAATTAATTTATTCATGTGTTCATTTAAATTAATTAACTTGAAAATCTTTTTGTGTGGAATATTATTTGTAGTTGCCAGCTAGTTAAATATAGGAATAAAAGAAATAGGGATAATGGCGTGTTAAAAATAAGAAGTTAAGGAATGATATTTATGATGTGTTAAAAATTAATCAATCATTATTTTAATATATAGCATCAGTCATGCATCAGTTTAGCAAACAGTGCTAAAAGTTTGAAAGGGATTGCACAATGTCTGTCTTTTGGTTCCACATTTATTTCAATAATTACAAGTTTATGAAGGTAACTAATTATCATGTAATTATATTGTATAAATCATAATTATTGAATGTAAGAAAAATGCACAATTCTATTAAAAATTTCGATTACTAAAATATTTGCTAATATTTCTGCCATAGATAAATAAGCATGGTCTCAGGTACTGCTCCACTTCTCAGGTATACTCTTTTTTATCTATGGGTTAAGTTAGGCATTTTATTCATTTTTACACAAACCATGGATCAAAAATGACTTAAATGAAATATGCCGGCGTATTCAGTTTTGTGAAGAAGTTGTGACAGATCACATGTCGCAAAACCGATCTATTTTTGTAATATATGAAAATATAACATTATAATATATATATATTTTATATACTATATATATATATATTATAATATATTTTCATATATTACAAATAGATCGTTTTTGCGAGATATTACTAAATATATTACTATAGTAAGAATTACTATTTGCTTTTAACTACTGCTAATTGCTATTAACTATTAATAATTATACTAATTGAAAATAGAATTTAATATCATAGTTTCCATCTATATGCAAAAAAATGCAATTTATTTCTTTTATTTTAATTTATTTCTATTTAAATTTTCTATCTTGTGTCGCAATCGCAACAATATATTTGTAATTTGCAAACTTTTGCCGCAAGAGTCGCAAACCTTGAAAATGGCACGTGTGCCGTGCGTCTAATGCGATTTGGTTTTGAGTTAAATTAACTGATGTAGTGGCTGCTCTTCTTACCTTACTTGACAGATGACAGCTTAGTTCATTTTCTAAATATTACAAAAATAGTGTGTCCTGAGGACAACATTAAAGAGTTCTTATGTTTAATATCAGTATCATGTTTTGATACTAGATTAGATATTATTTCTATATTTGGAAATAATAATAATGCAACCGAAAGTATGCGAAAAAATACATAAATCGTACATTCGCAAAAAAAGACTTAGCACACTCAACTACAACCTTTTTTTTAATATATTAGATATCTATTTTATATCTATTAGTGATAAATAATAAATAATAACATGTAATATAAATAACTTCTCTCTTCATTTTTTGATTACACTGTAACATTGAATTAAAATCTTCTTAAGATGCTTAAATACGTAACAAGACGATTCAGAGATACCTATGAGAAAGGTTGTAATATTTTGTACACCAGAAAAACTTGGACGTACACAGAGAAAGAAAATATACACATAGAGAAGTCTCAATCTCCTTCAGCTGAAGATAACACAGGATCGAAGAATTCTGATGAATATCCTAAAAACGATTTTGATGCTGGAAAGTACCAAACATCATGGTTGCAAGCTGTTAAATGGAGTAGTGCATTTATTATCAGCTGGTATGCTACTCAATTTGCATACCTCAACTGCAAACGCAGCTGCAGAGCCCGCTTGCAAAACTCTTTCTTGTGTGTCGGACATAATTATAATGTAAACCATAATATTTTATCTGGATTATCATATGTGCAGCCGAAATTAAATCAGCAACATGCATCATTCAATGTGTACAATGTAGGATATGAAACGAAGCATCAAACTTCACTTCATAACAAGCCTGAAAACCAAAATGATTCTGTTAACGAAACATCATTTGAAGAGGCTTCTGATCATTTTGAAAAAATTGTTGGCCAAATTGAAAATAAGTTAGGTGTTGCAAACATAATTTCTGGTGATATTATATCAGGGCTCTCTCAGTTAAAGTCGGGAGCTGTCCATGGCAATGCCGCTGCTAATTTTAATCTCGGTTTATGCCATGAGTTGGGCATTGGAGTAGAAAAGAATTTTGAACAAGCTGAAAATTATTATTGTGAGGCCGCCAAGAAGGGACACACAGATGCAATGTATAATTTGGGAATATTTTACATTCAAGGCAGGCCAGGAATCAAAATTGATTACAATCAAGCAAGAAGATTTTTTTTTGAAGCAGCACAGAAAGGTCATTCAAAAGCTGCAGATGCTTTAAAAATGGATCCGATTGGATATTTAGTGATGCAACAAAATATTGTAAATATTTCTCAAAAAACCATCAGTATATAATCAAATGTAATTTGATTTGTTGGATTTAATATGTTGGTTTGTGTGAAATTTTAGAGTTACATACATTTCATTTCATATACAAAAATCATTTATATATATATACATATATATATATATATATATATATATATATATATATATATATATATAAAAATACAAAAATATTAGGTGGTTTATTATTATTATTATTGTAACATATAATTATATCTGATATAATTTAATTTGTGGAGTGATATACAATAAGTATCAATAATATGGTTTAAAATAGTTACAATAAATTTGTTAGTAAGTAGTTATTATTTGATTTTTTTTTACTTTTGCATAACTCTTGAATTTTAATTCTGATGAAAATTGATTTAAAATAAGTGATTATATATATATATATATATATATATATACAAAATATTGTAAATATTTCTCAAAAAACCATCAGTATATAATCAAATGTAATTTGATTTGTTGGATTTAATATGTTGGTTTGTGTGAAATTTTAGAGATACATTCATTTCATTTCATATACAAAAATCTTTAAAACAACTTATAAATAATATAATACATATATATAAAAAAATACAAAAATATTAGGTGGTTTATTATGATTATTATTGTAACTTAAAATTATATCTGATATAATTTAATTTGTAAAGTGATATACAATAAGTATCAATAATATGGTTTAAAATCGTTACAATAAATTTGTTAGTAAGTAGTTATTATTTGATTCATTTTTACTTTTGCATAATTCTTGAATTTAAATTCTGATGAAAACTGATTTAAATTAAGTGATTATATTAGGTATATATATATATATATATATATATATATATATATATATATATATATATATATATAACCCAAAATATGCAAAATGTAAAACTTTCATAAGAATTGTTTTATTATTCAAATTAATATAATTTAGTATCATATTGTAATGTAATTGTATGTATACACATATAATTATATAGACACACACACACACACACACATATATATATATATATATATATATATATATATATAATTAATATGTGTGGATGCATATACAAAAGTATATGAAAGACTGTATACAAAGAGTGAAAAAGTAATATCAAATATGTTTTATAATTCATATATAAGTAGTTAATAACTCATCAGATATAAAAATTATTTGTTTAATTGAAACTGTAATTTCAATAAAAAGATTTATTTCTGTACACTTTGAGTTTTTATGCATTAAAACTTTTTATGTCCTTTATATTATATATTACTTGGGTAAATTGTTTATATATATATATATATATATATATATTATATATATTTATATATATATACATTTATATATGGGCTTTAGATTTTTTTGTTCGACGTTGAGAGATATTGTTGAAATGTTAATTTGCAGCCAAATAGTTGAAGTGAAAAAACAATAAATACAAAAGACATACGTATGAAACGTACAAAATGTATAGTTCAATTATTAACTTTCCGTAGGGTAAGTTATAGTAATGGGCCAAAAATAGAAAATATTTTTTTTTAATATCTTCACGTTATAGAAGTTTCTGAACATTTTGGCATACCTATTTGGCTGCATGGATGAACCGATTTGGAAAATTCAAAAAGCAATCGATTTCCAATGATAGGGAGATGTGCTGATTGGTTTTGGCAAAGACAGGTCCAGCGGCTTCGGAGACATGGGACAAAAAGAGCTAAAAATGTCAGTTTTTAAGAGAACGGATCAACCGATTTGAATGATCCAAAAAACATTCGATTCGTAATGATGAAGA